CCATAGTAAACCTTATAAGAAACATTTTATAGACCGTCACTATATAGATACCATAGTAAACCTTATAAGAAACATTTTATAGACCGTCACTATATAGATACTACATAGCAAACATGGTCAGTAGAGACTCACAGACTAAATTCTGCTTTGAGTTTTTATCTATATGTTAAATCTACTCCACATGACCGAAATTTTATGAATTTCCTCACTTTCGTAAAATAAAGATTGATAATATTCAAGAATTCTAAACATGTGAATTCAGAAGCTCCACTCTATCATGGCAATCCATGTCTCGTGTCAAAGCTCAAAGAATTCGAATACTGGACACTCTATCATTGCAATAGATGTCTCGTGTCAAAGTTCAAAGAATTCTAGTAGTGGACACTCTATCATTGCAATTCATGTCTCGTGTCAAAGTTCAAAGGATTTTAGTAGTGTAATTCGTTAATATATCGGTTTTCTACATAGTAATATTGTTAAGTTCCGTCACTGTGTTAGTAAATAGAGCCAATACTTTCATATATCTGTCGCAAGTTATAAAGGTGAAATACATCTTTTATGTGTAACTAGTTGAAATGATCGAATTCAGTCCTATTTTGATATCATTATTCTTAAACTAACGTTCTGTGACATTAAGTACTTTACACTAACCTTGTATGGCAGCATTTTGTTGAAATAACAAATTCAGGATCGTTGTAATATGATTACTATCGGCAGGTAATGAGAGAGAAAGTTCTAGATTAAAAATGTTGTCACGTGATTGTCACAATAACGCTGTCTGGACGGTAATAAATAGAAGCCCTTAAATAAGCCCTATTATTATTATTATGTTATTATTATAATAAAGTTATATATATTAGGTCTTTAAGAAATTAATGTCGCATTTTGGAACACTTTTATCACCCCCCCCCAAAAAAAAACGTATATCGCCTAAACGTCTCGTTAGTGTAGCCTACATAATGTGTAAAGTTTAGTATACTCTAATCTCTTCTAGTGATGGCACACGAATAGACACACATTCGGTATGTAATGCTGTTTGAATACAAGAAAGGAAACAACACCTCTGTAGCCGCAAAGAATATCAAAGAAGTTTATGGAAAC